CCTGCCTCGCAAGCGCAAGGGCCGAGTTTGATCCCAAAAAAAAAAAAAAAAAAATTTATCTTCCAGCTTTTGTTATGTCACAAATAAAAATAAGTCACTTAACATAACTCAGCATAAACATCTATTTTTTCAGACTAAAACTTACTCCCAAACTGTTTAAGATTATGTTCCATAAACATTATCTACTCTTCACAGAATAATGTAAAAAGTCACTTCAAATCTGCTTCTAGAAATAGGCACAGAATTTAAAAAAACAATTATTCCCTTTCCCATTCAAACTAAACTATGCCCTATTTTGGCTAGATGAAAGACAATCTTAAGAGATATTTCACTTAAGCTAGCTAATACATAAACATTATTTTATTTGATTAATTACTCTAAAATAAGATGGTTTTAAAGTTTCATTAAAGCCAATACAAAATTAAGTCTGAATTATACATAGATCTAGGAAGATTCAATACTTAACAAAGATGATTTTTTTGAAAGTACAATAAAGTTTTACGATAATAAGCAAACATCCAAAATATAAGGAAAATATGTAAATCAAAATAGTTCATGGTTTATTGTCCTTTTCTGTTTGAAGTAATATTGTTAAGTGGAAGTGAGATTAGCCACCTCCTGTCCTAACTTTAAATGAAAAGGACAATTAAAGTCTTATTTCTTTAGACACTTGCATTTGACATTTCATAGTTATTTGTGCAACATCCAAACACAAACCTAAAATGAACCCAGAGACATCAGTGCCATAGGACAGCAGTGAAATGCACAAAGAGATTCTTGCAGATACGTCCTGTGTGCTTTTCTATCAGTGCATACCATAATAGTGCATGAAGAGCGCAATCTGCCATCAACTAAACTATTGAAGTTTTTCTAAATTTCATTGAGTTGAAAACCTTTACTTTGCTTTCTTTTGCTGCAGTTCATAATTTATTCCTAAATACCACAAAAGCATGAGTTCCTTTCTTAAAGCTTGAGAAATGACAATGTAGAGTTGTGCCCCAAATATTTTGCCAGTCTATAGCTATATATTTAAAACTCTGGATTCACTAAACTAAAAGTAGATTAATGTTATCTTCTACCTCAAAAAGTCCACTATCCTAAGAAGACCCCTCAAAGACCAGCAAACTAGTCTGACCATGCACTGAGTCAGAAGAACACAGGTGTTCACAGGGTCACAGTGAAGTCACCTTCTCCAGAAGGCAAATCACTACTTGCAAATTCTGACAGTGATGGATTCACCAAAGGGATGTAGCACAGACAAAAGAAAAGACAGTGCTCCCAAAAGAAACAAATCAAGAAAACCAAACCAAACCAAAACATAAAAACAAGACTCAATAGCTTCTTCCTGGCCAGACAAACTAAGAAAAAGGGTAAAAAACAAGTCTTTAAACATGGTACTCAAAAGACTGGTCATTAAAAACAAACAACTGTGTGCCTCCAAAATAAATATTTAGGGCCTTAACTCTTACAGTGAAGTATACTAAAGAGAAAAAGTCATACATCCCACAGTTGATTTCTGCATTCAATCTCCTCAGAGCACCCTTAAGTAATATCACTCCCCTAATGCAACATCTTATGAAGTTTAGTTTCTTTTACATTGTGCTTTCAAGCTGCTAATATGGATAAACCATCTCTTCTGATAATTTCAGAAGACCTAAGGTAAACAATCTTTTTATTGGTGATTTAATTAATCTGGGTACCCAGAGTAAACTCCATTATGAACATTTCTTTGTACATGCTGGAATATGAGCAGTAAGTCTATTCCCATTCACGAGAGCTTCCTTCTTCCAGAGCTACAGACCACTGTTTTTTTTCTGGTGGGGGGGTACCAGGGATCGAACTCGGGACCTTACGCTTGTGAGGCAGGCAGAGGAACCACTGAGGTAAATCCCCAGCCCCTACAGACTACTATTTGAATAATAAATGCAATTTGTCACAAGGAAAGAAAGATAAGAAATAAGTCACCATTCAGGACAAATGTATGGCTACTATGCACCTGGGCTGTGTGTGCTCTGGGTTATCGGCCACTTCAGAGTGGCTAGACTTGGTTCTGTGGCTATCAATACAGAAAGAAACAGACTCCCAAATGCTGGTTTTTAAATGAGAAAAATTACTTTAGATTCACTGGATTGCTTGGCAATCATACCTAGAAAAAAATAACTTCATTCAGGACTAGAAAATATTTGGCAATCACCATATATATCAGACTATGCTTAAACCAGGCAATGACCAGCTGTTATTATACAGCTCAAGTGCTGATATACCTTGTACAATTCCCTCTTTATACTCTTTGCTCCACAACTATAGCTATCTTCTCTTTTCAGGGCACTTTTGTTCTAAAATAATAATTTATCATTGTTTCCTGAAACTTCACTCCAGAACACTACTTTGAAAGCAGCTTGTACTGCCCATTTGCAACCTGCTGCCTTCTGGCCTAGGAGTACAGGCCTCAAGAGTAATTCAATTCTAGCACTTAAGTTGGGTTTTTTTGTTTTGTTTCTTGGGGGGTTTTTTTGGTACCAGGGATTGAACTCGGGACCTTGTGCTTGCGAGGCAGGCACCAGAACCACTGAGCTAAATCTCCAGCCCAATAATTCAATTCTAGGAAGAAAAAAAAAATGCTAAAAAAGCCCATCATAAGATTATTTTCAAAATTTTTGGCAACTATATTAATGCACTTTAAAGTCTTAGGACATAATAAATGAGAAATTCTACCCAGGCTTCACCAAGCTGTCAGGAATAAGATTTATCATAACTGTTGTTTTACTAATATTGACCCAGAGACAGGCTATAAAGGCAAAAGATACCTTCAGACAAAATGGTTTGTTTTACTCATCATCAATTTAAAGTTATAATAATACATTTGAGATCCTTCTCCAAGCTGGAAGATAGTCAAAATCACAAAGACCAAGTGTTAATGATCATAACTACGATTGTAATATACAAAGAAAATACTGCCTCATAGACTCCAAAGACATAATGAATGTCAATCAAAACAAAGTCTCTGAGCAAGGAGGTTTGCTGGTACAAAGAAAGCTAAAAAGCCAAGAGAGGTAGCACAGCAAGAAAAACTTGGCAAAAAGTCCAATTTTTAAATTAATTTTGCTCTTCTTACTGTAAATACTGTAAATGTTGAAGATGAGAGAGGGGGAGATACAGACAAAGGCAGCAATAAGGGAAGAGGAAATCAAACTGATTAACTTTTTCTAGAGAACGCAATGTTAAATTTCATAGAGGAATTTAATTCCTACAGTAGAAGGATGTCATTCATTTAGATTTGAGTTCTTTTTATTTGACAATACAAAGTACTAAAGACTTCAAAATAAAAAGTACAAGCCAATCATGTAGCATAAATTTTTACATATCTTTGTTAACTGCGTTTACCAACTGATACTTAATACAAAAATAATGATATTAAAAGCTCAAAAGAGCAAGCAGTAACCAAAAATCCTGACAGTATTGAGAGGCTTTATCCTTTATATATATATTAACATGAAACTTGAACTTAATTTTTTAACATGTTTAATCAAATTTCACCTTTGCTACCAAAGATCTATTAAGTTCCCAGACCTCTCCAAATGTTCAGGTCTCAGTAAGGCATCAAATCCTAAAACCATCTGCTATTTCTTAAATTATTTTTTTGTAGAAAGCATGTAAACTGCATCCTTATTGTTTAAATTACAATGATTAAGTACAAAAACAATTCATTTAACAGCCTATGAATCAAAGTTACACATAAAAGCACCTACAAAATTTTAAAAAACAAGATTCACAGTGCACTGCACTTTGGAACATAGATGGCTGGAAAATAAGAACATTTAAAATGAAAATTTAAAGACTTATCTCTCTCTCAAACACATTAAAAATAATGAAGCCATGGGCAGGGGATTTAGCTCAGTGGTTCTGTTGCCTGCCTCGCAAGCGTGAGGTCCTGAGTTCAATCCCTGGTACCAAAAAAATTAAAAAAATAATGAAGCTGTAACTACTCTTCTCAAGATTCTTCAAATGGAGCACTCGACAGAAGTACATTATTGCATATTCAAAGTACTTCTTTAGGATACAATTTCCTCAAACCATGGTAAAATATTTCAAAAATCTAGTCTTGTGCTAAGCACAGCCTTCTCAAGGTAACCTAAACACCGAAAAGGAATAAGTAAAACAGATATACATAAAACAGGCACATCCACTTAAACATTTATTCTGCATAGTTAAGTCACATCATACACATAAACCTTAACTCATCTTTTAACATGTTTAATCTCAACCTGTCAAGAGAGTTAAAAGCCTAAAGTTATCATAACTGCATCCCAACCATAACCTTATTTTGTTCCACATTGCATTAAATGAACCAGCACAACAGTAATAACTATTGTAATTAAAAAGATAATTTGTTGGTTATTCAAAACACTTAACCATATTAGGAACCACACTTCTGATAACTAATCTCTTTGGCTTTTTAGTATTGGGAGCTGTTACAGGCACCAGAAAGACTGACCAAAAGTACTCATTTAATAAGAAAAAAAAAAGTCACATGTTTAAAAAAAAAACCCTAAAAATTAAATGGTTTACAGACGACAGTAAACAAGTGAAAATGATTCATCTGCTAGGCAAACTAGTATTTCATTCCCTTAACAATTTAATGGAAATCTGGAATGGTGGGACCAACTATACATATGGCTCAAGGAGACCCGAGCAAAGCAGCTGTATTTCTGAAAAGAACAAAGAACTTTCAAATGCAATCATGTAATGCATTAAAAACCACAGATCACAGAAGGATTCACAAATTAGTCATGTTTAAAGATATAGGATTATGAATAACTTAATTCTAAACATACCGTAATTATGAATTCTGCTTAGCACCAAGAGTGACGCTTTCCATAATAAATACAATTTCTCCTTTAAAATCGAGTCACTTAAAAGCTAAAGCAAAGTAGTAATACCAACTGAATTCCTTATGATACCCCTTCTTTTAAAAGTCCCACAGGGCTCAGTAGGCTACCTATAAAGAATAAAGAATTCTACAGTAACATTTATAAGCAGAGATATATTTTGTGGATACCACTTGTGAAAAGATTTGTAAAACTCACATGACAGTTGCACACACATACATCAAACACTCCACCCCCTCTCCCCCAAGAAGTATCTTCAGTGAGGTCAGATGCAGCCAAAAAAGTAATGCCTCCTTAAAGCTCTGGTGATTGTCCTTAATCATATCTGAAATCCTTCTTAAAATGGTCATTGCCATCTTTACTTGGATATAAGAACCCTGAAGGAGCAAAATATATTCCTAGGACTGAGTTAGGTACATTACTTCTATGTTCTGATTCTCCCTAGTGAAGTGCTTTATTTGTCCTTGGGTAAACTGCACACCCCATCCCTTCTGAATCCATCATCCAGGGCCTCAGATGCCAATAAAGCATGTCATTCTCTACCACTACTGCAAACTGGAACCAATATTAACACCATTTTCTATAGATCAACACTGATATGCCATGTAAAACTAATATTGTCAGTTTTTCTTACATATTTATACAAGTGGAATGTGGAAGAAATCTTCACAAGAACAAAATCATTGTACAATACCAAAGGGTTGGAGGCAAGATGGTAAAGACATGACCCGAAGTGACTGCTGAGTCTTGACTCCATGCTCTCTGCTCCAGCATTCACAGGTTTACTGACTGCATGCAGCACGATTCAAAATTACAATATCAACTCCACATCAACATGATCCCTCTCAGGCTGCAGACTGTGTGTTTATGAAGTACTAAGAGCTCATTTTGCACATAAATATTATATCACAGATGCTGGCTCTAAATAAATCCTTTCAACAAAACTGCAAGCCAGAGTACCAGAGAGCCTCAATGGTTAGACACAGAGAAATGAGCAAAATGCCACCCTCTTGATGAGCTGCAATATTGACATGTGTGACATTTTCACTCTTATATTCATTTACCAATAGGGTATTTTAAGTTTCCTTTTGGAATTTCATATAAGTAAACTATTATTGCAATCACTGTACTGGGTAGGTGAACCTTCCCATTAACTTGGCTACTTACTTATTGATGACTCAAATACTATTTTCTTGATCAGAATACAAAATAAGACCTACAGTCACACAGAATAAATGCCCTCAAAAAAAGCAACTTAAAACTTGTTCCAAACACTGCAAAGGTAAAACTGGATTAAAAGGTTATAACTGCATTTACAGTGCAAACTCATTTCTATTTTCTCTTCTGGAAAAAAAAAATTTCTTCAGAAACACTGCCTCCCTGCATTTCTTTAAAACACCTGAGAAAGGTAAGGCTTGAGGAGACACCCGCTCAAATGCAACAGGCCTCTGATCTTGAGACTTCTACAATACATCTGTTTGCCATCAAAAGTCCAAGATTTTCATTATAGCATTGTGGTCAAACTTGAAACTCAAAAAGGCTCTGGACGAAAAGTGGGACTTGCAATGTCCATTACATGCCACAAATTGTTCCTCAGGATGTTCTAGCAACTGGTCTTCAATGGAGCAAGTCAAATCATATACAGCATCTGCTTCAAAGTTATCCTGAAGTTTTCGTGGATGCAGTTTCTTTTCACATTTTATCAACAAATTCTGCTACTTCACTGGCTGACTGTGGGTCTTGTTAGTTCTTTTCTTTTGATTAGGTGAGTCTTGATACCATTTTCTGCCATTTCCCCTCATACTCTGATTATTTGCTTTTAATAGGTCAGACATTTCGGAATGGTTGTTGTATGGCTTTTGCTGCACTGGCTGCCTGTGCTTTACCCACTGGTCTCCAGGAGAACCTTCAGGAAATAACTGCTGGCTATGGTGGAATTTGGTTTGACTCAATTTTTCCACAGTGGGTTTGGCTGGTGTGTTACCAGCTGAGGAAAATCCACTGTTACTGTCTAAGGAATCTCCAAATCTTTGAGATAGCCAGTCCCTTAATGGCCTGATAAAGGGAATGGCCATAAAAAATTTGTTAGGTGCCAAACCAATTTTGGATTTGGGGGTCATATCATTTCTGTGACGGTAATTTCTCAATGGAGAACCACTCAATGTTCCGAATTTCTCTTCTGGTTTTGGGGTTAAATTTTGTGTCTTTTGGAATTCCTGGAATGATGTACAAAGGAGCAAGTTGTTCATTGATTCTCAGTTCAGTGTAATCATCCTTACAAATTTAGTCTTTGATATCAAAACCAGTTTCTTCAAAGACCTTTCTAGCAGCACAATCACAAGGAGCTTTTTTATTTACTTTTCCTTTGGGAAATCCCCAGCCTGATTTTGCTAGGTACCCCTGAACCAGTAGTACCTACAGAGATGGTCCAGGACCCTGCCAGGAATCTCCACCGGTCTGGCCTCCATGGTGACGACCCACAGCAGAAGCAGTGCATCCGAGGGGCTCCGTGCGACCTGGGACACTCTGGCTCGCCGGATGGCAGAGGCAGCAGCATCTGCGACCGGTCCGAAGAAAGTGAGAGCGGGAAGGGGTGGGACCCGCTCACTTCTGTCCCTGAATTTAAAACTTTAAAGAGTAAGCAACAAGAATTACAATAACTGAGAAAGACGACAGAGAAGAAAGAGAAACTAGGTGTAATGAAAACACAATTTTGAATGGGTGGAGAGAAGCAAGGAAGGATGAGCACACTCAAAACTCTCAAAGGAAAAAACAACTTAAACATAAAAGGATGCGTATTTAAAGTGAATAAAATTTGAAGACACAATTGTAATTACTGTTGGAGTGAAAAGATATTCATCAACTGGAAAATGGTTTATCTATGGTGGATTCATTATGCGGAATTCTATATAGTTGTTAAAAATAAGACAGATACATAGATATAGACATGAAAATATTCCAAAGTTTTATTATTGAATTCAAAAAGCAAGATGCAGAAGATAACTATGATCCAATCTTTGTTCAATACTTTATATATGCAGCTGTACATGCATAGAAAAATTCTAAAAGAGTACACAGAAAGCTGTCAGTAATGGTTACCCCTGGCAAATGGCAGTGAAGATGACAGGGCTAGGACATATTTTCTTTTAATTAGTACATATTTGCAGTACAAGAAGTTTACATCCATCTCTGGGAGTAGGCATATGTATAAGACAGCTTGTATCTTTTTTTATCTCCTTCCCTTTCCCACCCACTTCCCTCACTCCATCTTTAAATCCCCTTTCCCTGATTTTATTCTTCTCGTTGTTATTCTTAGTCCATTTTTATGACATATAATGTGTCCATTCATTGTGGGTATTTTGTTCCTGTACATGATATATCTTAATTCTTCTTACTTTGCTTCCCCTCCCCCTCTTCTCATGCCCTTAGTCTCCTGGAGCCCTTTCCATTTGCAAGAAAGCTATCCTCTTGTTTCCTTCTTTCCATCCCATTTTGCTCTTCATTTGTACTTTGCCTTACTCAAATAAAAGATACCATATGTTATTTAGGCTTATGTTTCTTATTTATTTCAGTCAACATTATATTTTTCTGGGTGCATCCATTTTCCTACAATGTTTTGAATTTATGCTTATTTATAGCTGAGTAATATTCCATTATGTATAGATACCACATTAAAAAATCTATTTGTCTGGTGATGGGCATACAGGCTGCTTCCAGGATTTTTAGCTATTATGAATTGTGCTGTTATAAACATTAATATGCCTGTGTCACTATAGTATGATGTTTTTACCTCTTTGGAGAAGATACCTAAAAGGGGAATAGCTGGGTCATATGGAATTTCTAAGTTTAGTTCTTTGAGAAATTGCCGTAATGCTTTCCATAATGGTTATACTATAGTTTACATTTCTACCAACAATATAGGGGGGTTCTTTTCTAACTGCAGCCATGCCAGCCTTTGTTATTCTTTGAATGATTTGCTATTTTTTCTTGAATAAGATGAAATCTTAGCACTTTTAATTTGCATGTCTCTAATGGTTAGAGATGCTGAGCATTTTTTTTATATGTTTGTTAGCTGTTTGCACTTCTGAGAATTGTCTGTTCATTTCACTTGCCTATATCTTGAGTTGGTCTTTTATTTTAGGTGATCTAATGTTTTTGAGTTCTTTATTTATTCTAGGTATTATTCCTCTGCCTGAGGAACAGATGGCAAAATTTTTTCCCCATTCTGTTGGTTGTCTTTTCACTCAGTAGAGTGATTCCTTTGCTGTACAGAAGGTTTTAAATTTGATATAATCACATTTGTTGATTCTTGCTGTTATTGCTTATAAATTGGAGTTCTGTTTAGAAAGTTCTTGCCTACACCTACGACTTCAAGTCCTTTAAGTATTTTATCTCTGAGTAGGGTCAGTGTTTCTGTTTTAATGTTTAAATTTGTGATCCATTTTTATTTTAGTTTAGTGCATGCTGAGAGATACGGGTCTGGCTTCAGGTTTGAAAACAGCCAGTTTTCCCAGCCCTATTTGTTGAATAGGCTATTTTTCCCAGTGTATGCTTTTAGCCCCTTTGTCACAGATCAAATAGTTGAATATGGGTATGTTTCTGCGTCCTCTATTATATTCCTTTGACCCATGTCAGTTTTGGTGCCAGTACTATGCTGTTTTTTGTTTTGTTTTGTTTTTCTCCAATCACTATTGCTTTGTAGTACAGCTTGAAGTTAGGTATTGTGATACCTCTTGCTTTGCTCTTCTTGCCCAAGATTGCTTTTGCTATTCTCTGTCTCTTTTGGTCTCATATGAATTTTAGGATTATTTTCTCTACTTCTCTGAAGAATGCTGTTGGTATTTTGATTGGGATTGCATTGAATCTATGTAACAGATTTGGGAATGTGGTCATTTTGATTCTGCCTATTTGGGGCCAGGAAAAATCTTTCCCTTTTTTTGGTACCGCAGATAGAACTCGGGACCTTGCGCTTGCAAGGCACGTGGCAGAATCACCAAGCTAAATTCCTGGTCCTCCATTTTCTGATGTTCTCATCAATTTTCTTTTACAGAGTACTGTAGTTTTCTTCGTGGATGACTTTCAGTTCCTTGGTTAAATTATTTCTTGGGTATTTAGTTTTTGATGCTACTGTGAATAGTATTTTACCTGAGCTTGTTATTTTCTTAGTGTTCTGAGCATTGACTGCAATGAGATTCCCTCTTATGACTGTTTCATTGTGTCCCATAGGTTCCAGTGTGTTATATAGGCATTGCCATTAACTTCCAGAAATTATTTAATTTCTTCTATGACTGAGTGCTTAAGACTGTGTTATTAAGTTTCTAACTTCTAAATTTTCTGTGGTTTCTTCTATCATTGATTTCTATTTTCATTGTACAGTGGTCTGATAGTAGGCATGGGGTGATTTTGATTCTTTTATATTTATTTAAGCAGGCTTTGTGGACTAGTATGAGATCTATTTTGGAGAAAGTACTGTGTGCTACAGAAAAGAATATATACTTTGTTGTAATAGGGTGGAATATTCTATAGATACCTACTAAATCCATGGTTCATGAGTATGGTTCAGATCTGATATTTCTTTATTATTTTGTTTAGTTAATCAATCTCTTTGCAAAAATGGGATATTAAGATCTTAAAGTGCGATTGTGATAGTATTTATTTGATCTTTTATGTTCAGCAATATTTGTTTTATGAAGACAGGTGTCCAGTATTTGCTGTATATTTTAAAGCATTATATATCTTCTCAGTGAATTGTTCACTTAACTGATATGAAGTAACCTTCTTTGTCTCTTTTGATCAGTTTTAGCTATAAGTTAATATTGTCTGAAATTAAATTTGTTGTCCCTGCTTGTTTTAAGGGTCCTGGTGCATTGAATATTATTTTCTGTCCTGATTTTTAGTCAATGAATATTTTTAAGGATTAGATGAGTTTCTTGAATGCAACAGATTGTTGGATTCAGTTTTCTTTTATCCAGTCTGCCAATCTGTGTCCTTTAATTGGAGAGTTGAGGCCATTAATATTGAGAGATATTACTGAGAGGTATTGATTAATTACTATCATTGGGATCTATCTCTGTTGGATTCCTCTTTCTTTTCCTGTCATTTTTTTTCTTGTTCTTATTTTTTTTTCCTTAAATTCTTTTATTGGTACATTTTAGGTAAACAATACATTTACCTTTATCGTTGGGTGCTTGTACCTGTACATGATATATCTTGGTTCTTATTTTTTTTCCCATTACCTGTGCGCCCTTCACCCATGCCACCTTTCCCTATTTACATAGACTTTGTTTCCATTTTTGGTCTTTTCTCATAATTTTTCCTTTCCCTCCTTTCCTTTCCCCTTCCCCTCCCACAACCCTTACACCTAGGGACCTTTTCTTCCTATTTCAAATTATCAATTATTCATTT